CTCCTGACCCGCCCGCTGCTCCCCTCAGCAGTGTATTTCATCGATCTGCCTGTTCTGCTCCCTACTCTGTCTCTGGTGAACCCTCTCACCCTCCGCATCTCTGGCCTGTACCCCAGTTCTGTATGAATAAATAAATAAAATCTTTAAAAATATATGAAATAAAAACTTCACAGGAAAAAGCTTTAAAGTAGAAGCTCAAGGAGTTTCTTCTGAATGGGAACAGTACTAATGATTTCATGAAGGCAGTTTTAAAAATGTATGTTAAAGACAAAGTATATAATACTTGTTCTCGTATTTTTGATGGACTTTGTCTAATGAGAGTAACTATAAGGTTAAGTTTGTTTATATGTGCGTAACTAAAACACTATTCTATATGTATTAGGCACACAATAGCTATATGATTAACTGACCTACTGGTAATGATTTTAATAGGCAGAAATATAAGAAATTCTAGCAGAAGTAAGAAACATGAGAAAATATCTGAAATTTCACCTCCTCACACTTCCTAAATAATTTTGATCTTTTCAAAGTTAAGTCACTTAAAGTTCTAGCTCCTCTCCCATATTTCTTCCAGCCTAATGTTTCCATTTGTTCAGGCTAGTTCTATCGAACCTAGTCTGGTATTTTCATGCAGTTACTCTCAATGTTTCAAAGGCTATGTCTCCTTTACTTCAATAATTATTAAAATATGCCTCTTTTATTATTTTAACTTTAAAATACAATATACTGCATGATTAAAATCAAAGCTTTACTTAGCTTCACACTACACTTCCTACATCCTTAAATCCTCTAAAGGTCTTAGTCTCCCCACAATCCTAAAATTGGACTCCCTATTGTTCTTCCTCATTTGTTTCTATACCCTCATATAAGTTAATGTTTAACTAGTGTTTACTAATTTAAGTTAAAAAAAAGTAATCAATATCTACTAATTTAGGATTATTATTATTCCTTAATAGACTAAATTTAACTAATTTCCTCAGTTCTTTCTTTTCCTGAGGATAGAGATCATGTCTGCTTCTTCTCTATTTTAATACAGCATGTAATAGACACTAACTGGATGCCCCATGTACCACTCACCAGTCTGCTTATATATTTTTACAGTTCTGCTAAGAACAATTTTTACAAAAGCTAAGCCCAGATAATTTTTGCAACAAATGTTTAAAAGTCACAGAAAAATGTAATGCTGTAAATTACATTACTACCAGAAAATTTACAGTGCTGGTATTCTACAATGTGTTTACTCATTACATTAACCTCATTCAGATGATTGAACTTATGCTCATCTTGAATTTAAGTTGGTTCATTTTGTGTGTAAATTGTTAAAGAATAAAATTAAGAACATGTATAAAATGTTCAATAGGTAGCAATTGTGGAATAAGCTGAAGGGAAATTATTATTTGGGGAATGAAACTATACCTTTCACCCCTTTATAATGTGTGTATCTTCTTTCAAGCATTCATACATATATAAGTATATTATGTAAAAAAGGACCTATTTTTAAAGTATAAATTGACTCAAATAACACAAATATAAGAATTTGTGAATTATTTGTAAGAATAGAGAAGGCTTATTCTTTGTTTTCCTTAGAATCCTAGCCATAGTTAAAAAGTATATCATTTCAAGGCAACTAAAATCCTTTACTCCTTTGACTTCTGGCAACTAGTTCTAGTTTCTAGCTCTCAAATTCTCTCTACACTCAAGTCTCTTTTACTTCCTCTAAATCATTTTCACTATTTGTTTATATCGCCTCAAATCATTGTAATTCTTTTCCCACGCAGATATTAAGCTAAGCTGAGTAGCAAAGATAGACCCTATGACACCATACAAAGATAGCAAGGCTATGTCAATATGTCCTTATATTTGTTTTTCTTTTTTAAATATTTATTTATTCATACAGAGCTTGGGTACAAGCCAGAGGTATAGGGGCGGTGAGAGGCTTCACCAGAGACAGAGTGGGGAGCAGAACAGGCAGATCAATGAAGTCCACTGCTGAAGGGGAGCAGTGAGCGGGTCAGGAGAGGTCTGTCATGCCATATGGCTCACCTCTGGGGCGGGATAGAACTCTCACTGAAGTGGCTGCAGCTCGCTTGCAGTGCTGTGTCCTACCCCGTTGCGCCACCAGGAAGGGCCTTGTTTTTCTTTTTTTTTTAAGATTTATTTATTTATATGTACAGAACTGGGGTACAAGCTAGAGGTGTGTGGAGGGGGGTGAGAGGGCTTTCCAGAGGCAGAGTGGGGAGCAGCAGGTGAGATAGGAGAGGTCTGCCACGCCATGTGGGTCACACCCCCCTCTCCTGCCAGGGATCAAACTTGTGCTACAGTGGCACTCTGTGCTACAGAGTGCTTGAACCTGTTGTGCTACCAGGGAGGGCCTCTGCCCTTATATTTGTAACATAAAAGAAATGAAAGTATCTTTTTAAGAGCACAGACTAGTATCCACTTTGCAAATTAGAAATATTTTTTTACATAATCTGTAATAAGAATAGTGCCTATACCCATAGATAAATATATCCATGTGTTTTGCTAAACCTGTTTTATAAGTCATATTGAAGTAACTGCAGAGCTTGAGAAATATTATCAGTCTCTAATGCATAATAAAATAATGCATTCACCCTCTGGTGGCCAAAATTAGAAATGCATTCTCATTTTCTTGGATTGTATCCAAAATATGATGTGTGATGTATTATATTTCTGCTTCATATTTAACCAATACCAAAAATAGATCTAACAGAAGGCCACTGGCTTAAAAAAAAAAAAAAAAGACACCACCACCAAAACAGGAATAATAAAATAGCTAGTGAGAGTTTAGTAACTTTTTCAATAAAATATATTAACAGTTAAGGCAACAATGTAAATGTCTTTAGCAGAACACTTCTTCAAGTAGCCTGGGGATACAAAATCCTTTGCATGAGGAAAGCTGAAATTCCATATGGGTCCCACACAATATTATGCCTGTTCCAATTGAGCAAAATGCCTATTATCACTAACATGCACTGTTCTCAGGAGGTTTCTAGCATGGTTTCCAACTCCTATATGGCTAAGGTTCTAAGGTCTGTGAGTTAAAGGGGTTACCACATTTTGATCTGTTTGTCTCTTCTTGTAAATAACTTCTGGCTTATTATATCTGAAATATGTTCATACACATTTTCTTTAGCACATCAGTAACCATACCTGCATTGCCTTTGACATCAAAGTAGATTGTGAGGTTCTGTTATAGCACTCTTGTATCAGTGCCAGTGTAGGAAATCTTTTCATCAGAGAAATCACTCTTGAATCGGTCATTTACTGTAGGGTTAAGTTCAATTGTTCAGATGTCAAATGACACCAATCTCACCAGTCATCCTTTCTATTGTGCTATCCTGCATTCCTGTTAAGACAGGTATCCTGTCAGATTCAATGCCCAACTCTATACCTTCATTCTTAACGGCCTGCTAAATGGTGGCCAGCGTGAATGATGGAAGAAATGTATTCACAGAGTTTGAAAATCTTCAAGGTTCTGTGAGAAAGCACCCTTTCAAAACTGAAAAGGTATAATAGGAGGTGGAGACTGTTGATAGCGAGGTGGACATTGAAGACGCTATGCAGCAGCAGCAAAGAGAAGGGCTCAGGAAGCCCTTAGCCTCCTTCAGTCACATGTATGTGACTTCTCTGTCATATACTAAATGGGTAGTCCTTGGGCCACTAGGTTCCTCAAACAGAACAGTGAATGGCCAGCACAAGAGTCCAAGACACTCCCCACAGATGACGAGTATTTTCATTTTTGTATGAATAAGGTAAACCAGAAGTGTAAAGAATTTCATAGAATTCATCAAGTATTACTTTTTAAAAGCTGATCTGTAGGTCTTCCCTGGTGGCACAAGGGCTTAAGTCTCAGCATTATAAAGCCATTGGCAGCCACTGCAGCACGAGTTCAATCCCCAGCCAGGGAGCTGACCCACATGGCACAGCAGACCTCTCATGTCTCGCCCTCTGCTCTCCTCAGCTGGGTATTTCCATTGATCTGCTTGGTCCTCTCCCCACTCTGTTTCTGGTGAATCTTTTTACCTCCCTACATCTCTGGCCTGCCCCCCAGTTGTTGTATGGCTAAATAAATAAAATATATCTTTAAAAGAAATAAAAACTGTAGTTTTGTTTTGACATGATGTTTATAAATGAAATATGCCCAAATTGCCTATGAAAAAATACAAAGGTCACATTAAAACCACTTATATTTTAATAATAAAGTATATAATGTGGGCATAAGATATAAATGCATACAAATTAAACAGGATATTATTTATGTACACCAGAAAATTGATTAGCATTTAATTGATCAACAAATAACAAACTAAATATAAAATGATTTTTTGATTTGAGTCTCAAGTGGAGTGGAAATAGTTCCTAAAAATGATATTTAAGTTATAAGAGAATAAACACAATAATATATCCATTCTTGTCTTTCATTCAGAGGCATTACATGTTGACAAACCTGCAAGGGAAGACAGAAAGATTTTACTTTCTTATTTTGTTATTGTTGGCTTATTTTTCCTAGACCCTATGGAAAAGATATCCCCTGCATAAAAATTTCTTTATTTGTCCCTAGCAGGAAATGGCAATCTATGATCTGATGTGTAATGGGATAGATAATCCAACCTAACTTCTATACTAACATATTAGTTGATTGTTGGTGAGTGTGAATATAGGATGGTAGAAAGGGAAATAAAATATCCTTTTCTCATAAGCCAGGTAGAGCTTCTTTTTTTTTTTAATCCTTACTGGAATAACAGAAAGGTACATCTCTATTTTGTTCTAGAATGTTGTAAAACAATATGGAGAAATAAAGAATAAAAATAGAAAGATTTTTCTCTTCACAAAACCAGTTTCGGGATCTACTGGTCTGTCCCTGTCTTTGAACTCTTGGCTAAATGAGAAACTCAGAGTTCTCTGAACACCAGAACTACAGCTGTTTCTGCCTTTGAGTTGGTATCTAAAAATCGGAGGCATGTTCTCTTTTAGTTACCTTGGAATACTTAATAATGTAGATTAAACATATTTTGGATTATAAAAATTCATATTAACACTATTTTGTATTTGCACATGAGGTTCAGTGATGCTTTTATGTACGTACATCATCTTACTCTTACTTTTGCATTAGGATAAAATATATTGTGAAGTAATTGAAGAAAATGCTACTATATTAATTTTACATTTAAAGAGACTAGAAGAGAATTTAAGGTGTTAAGAGAAATGAATCTTTTAATAAACACCCAAATACAACTGAGTTAGAACCAAGGTCTCCCATCTTGCTAATTTGAGTATCTTACTTAAAATAATTTTCTATGTTACTTCACACCTATATATCTAATAACAGCATTGATAGCAAAAAATGTTTTCCAAATAAAAATATTTAATTAAAAAATAAAATAAAACAGGCCCTCCCTGGTGGCGCAGCGGGTTAGAGCACTGCACTGAGAATCTAAAGCCACTTCTGCATGAGTTC